AAGCACTAAAGGGATCTTTAAATATCGTTTAAGAGGCTTTATTGTTTATTTAAGGAATCAACAGCCTTCATGAGTCACTAAAAGTCATTTAAAGTCTTTTAATGACTTTTAGTGCACCTAGCAGTCTATTTTAACATCTTGTGGGATGAGCCGTTAGGAACGTTTAGTAATCTTTGAGGGTAATAAATATCCAACTCCAAGGACTGCTAAGAGCCTTTACTAACTTTAAGCGTCTCTAATTGTTTTTAAGACGTTGTCGAAGTTTCCAACAGTGTCCGTGGTTCAAAGTTCAAACGTATCCAAGACCCTTCTAAATGTTCTTAGAAACCCTTCAATATTCCGCAAGTGTCTCAAAATATCTTTTAGAAAATGGTCAATAGATACCACGGATTTTCTAAAGTGTAGAATGTGTAAGTCTTTAGTCTTGGAAGATCCTTCTATCTATCTATCCGCAGGGGAGCCCGACCGGGCAGCACTTAGGCACACCAGAGGCCCATTGTGCCTACCCCCTTTCCTCGCATCTGAGTTCAGAGCCCGTTCCTCTCAATGAAGGATAGGACCCTGTTTAGCCTAAGTTGCTTCACCCTCCTCGGTTCCAGATCCTTAAGAACCTGTAAAATCTTTATTACGCTTAAAGGGCGTTTAAACCTTTTTCTATAAGTCTGCGTGAAATTCGCTGTGAATACTTTTTATAACATTAAGTAATAATAAATTGAAATCTTAAGATTCTTTGTTCACACATTTTCAAACACTATAAGATCTGAATTTTCTATATCTTTTGGTTGTAGAGAAAAAAATACAAAACAAACACAATTTGTGACAATTTTGAAAACGATAGATTAAAGGGAGTAAAAAAAGCAGTAGTTTTCGAAAGGGTGCTCTGCATATAATTTTCGACAAGGGAATATATTTTTATATATTTTTTCACAAATGTATACCAACAACCTTCACATCCAACTTCCTTGGAAACTGTACTACACTTGTTTATCTCTGTTCCCTCCTTCATTCAATCCCTTATGTATCAGTCTAAAGCAGGGGTATCCAAACTTGAACTGCTGACGATCTACCTCAATGTTGTTAGACTCCGATCGATCGACTCTGAGAGGCTATGTGTGATGCAGAATTGTTGTCTACATAGGTAGGGCGTATTGTGGCGCAAATATAATTTATAGGGACGTTGCAGAATTTCATGAAAATACTTTGCATAGAATTCGTTAATTAGTGGAAACGGCAGAATTTAGTTTTCCGAAAATCTTCTCTCGCAAATATTTATTTATTTACTTCTAAGACAAGAGTTCCAAAAAAAGTGGTAACCAATCAATGATTAAAGTATTTTCGTCTCATACTGTGTTAAAGGTAGATTTTACAGAACCGCTGTTTTTTAGAAATGTGTCATACAGATGTGTACTGTTTCAGTTTGTTGATTTTGAACATCCTTTGTTATTGAGCTTTCGATTTTCTGTTGGGAAGAGTTAGCCATTGTAATTGCTTGGAATTTTGAATACCTGCCTCCTCCCGCGCTTACAGTATTTCTCATGGAATTTTTACACGGCAACCGCCCACAACCTTGACTTTTTTATTGTATGAATCAAGCCAGTCTGATTGTCTTCCCATTCAATTTTGGCAATTCTCAAACGCTTTTAAAAATCAGGAATGATACGGTTCCTAATATTTTACAGTTTGAGAAGCATTCAAATGGAAAGCTGCCGTTCCTATCCCTTTCTTTTAAATCCACGGTGTCAATATGTCAATCTTAATTATTTACATCATGCGTGGTGAAAGTGTTAAAAAACCCTTTCAAAAATTCGCAGAGGCAAGAATTCTTACTAGACGCACAGAAGGTTTTTCTAATTACATTTTTTATTCCTCCCACCTCCTCAAATTTTTTTCTGTACAAACTTGAAGGTTAAACGATTTGAAAAAATAATAGGGCGCCTTTTATGCCAACGTTTTCGTCAACGAACTCACTAAGTTCTAAGCGTGTGACCGTGAAGGTATCGTGATTTATGGCAAATAATTATTACCGACATTCGACAAAATGTTAATGTTTATTTTTCTTACATTTTTCGTTCGGCATGTTTGCCAAGGACATGATCGTCGTTTGCAAAAACTAGATATTTGAAAAAGTTCTAATTCGTACTGGTGAGACCAGAGTTTATTGTTTAAATGATGCGGTAAAACAACCGCAATCCTACTTACAGTTCCTTATTGGGTAAGATGTTTAGATTCGGATTATGTAAGGAGTTGGTAAAAAAGAAAGTTTTAACGAATTTCCTGATGCTATTTTCACCTTTAAAAGTCAAGAACGATCATGCGATTTTCGCCTTTAATTATACACTTTGATGATTTGTGTGTTGTCTACCTTTTTCTTTAGATATAATTTATTATTAATTTATTCAATTGAAAGTGCCCTATGGATCTAGATATTTAAGACGTCAAATCTGGAGGTCCCTAATTTCTAGAATGTCCAGCAACCCTTTTTTCAAAACCTTTGGGGTGAGTCTGTAAAACCTACAGAGACTGAGGCGTGGCTTTAATACTTTGGATTTGTTGGGATTAATATTTTCTGGTATTTACGTTGCCAAAACTTTTGGAGTATTGGATGTTCCTGACTGTTTCGAGTTTTTAGAAATCTCTGGAGTATACCTATTTGGATTCTTTCAGTCTTTAAACTGTATGGTACAAAATATTTGGGGTCTCGAGCATTTCCAGTTCATAAAATAATAATCTTCACACCCTATCAGATCTTTACAATATTAGCATTTGTAGCAAATTTTCATCGGCGGATTTTAGTTCATCGCAGCGTGTTAAAGTCTGTTAAGCATTGTAGGTACATACATTACTATGAAGACCTGTTCCGTCGCTTTTTGCAATTACGCAATTTCGTCGTGAAGAACTTTACGTTCATCTAATCCAGAATGTACTTGAGTAATAAAATTTTGAAAAATTTCGTTACTGGCACAGAAATATTTAAATGTCTAGCTTCTTGGAATGTTCAAATTTACTTGTTTTTAGCATTTGTATTGTTAGTTCATTTATTTAGATTTTTCATATATTAATCAGTACTAAAACCTGAAAACTTCGATACAGAATTTGTTTGGAAATTTTCTTCTACCTTATTTCACAAATGAAATTTAATTGTGACTGGAATCAGAATTAATTTTTCTACGTAAATATAAACGCATTCGTTTTTCTATTTGTCGTCTGTGCTCGAAGCTCTTTAATAATGGCTGAATACCTGATTTTTCTAGAAACTAACTTGGAAAATTAGAAGTCGCTAAGTAATTTATCTGTCCGCCTACCCACCCCTCCACCCATGCGAAAGGCAAGAATGATTAGTATCTCATCTAAAAAAAGATTTTTTTCACAAAGCATTTATGCATGAAGATCGCAACCAAAAATAATAAAGGATTCTAAGTTATGTAACCTTTGAAAAAGCGTCAGAGACTAATCCTCGAAAGCCTAAGAAACTTTACTCTAAGGACCAAAAAAGTTAAAGCATTTCAAAGATTGCAGATACTCTAAAGGCTTCAAATCTAAAAGAGTAAAATAGAGGTTGTCACAAACTTTAGACTGAAAGGCTTTACAGATTCGTCTGAAACGTTTTAGACATCTTATACACTTAACAGTTTTCCAAAGATCTTAGAGAGCCCCGTACCATTTAAATAGCTGTCGTTGGCCTACACCCGACTGGTTCGTGCGCAACCATTCCCATACAATTCCCATGGAAGGTGCTCATAACTGCAGATACGTAAAAATGTACACGGCAAACTTCGTGAAAATTCACCATCAGCCCGTGCAGGAATTCCGTATTGTCGCGTTAAAGACCTCCAAATTTCATCAGAATATTGTTCACATACCCACGATTAGGGTGCACCCTCTTGGAGTAGGAGGATTTTTTTACAAAACAGGCAAGGTCATACACACTAACTTAAAATATGTAAATAATTTTAATTGCTTCAATCATAGATTGTCTCGTGATGGAGTATGTTTGTACACCCACTTTGGTGCACTTCCTATTTTAACGATGCGATGATTCAAGTATTTCTGTGTCATTTAGTAATCGTCGCATTTTCAAGTAATTTAAAGGTTATGATCGGATAATGCAAATTGTAATTCGGTTGCTTTTGAAGTTCAAAAATTCACATTTCTGGTGTACAGAATACTGTAAAATCGGCCAGACTGTTTGTTTCGTCACACATTTTATTCTAAACACACTAAATAAAGGTCCAAATGTTTCGCTTGAGAGATACTCCCTAAAAAGTTTCAAAATTCATGTTTTATCCTTTTATTTGAAATGGATAACAAAAATGATCAAATTTATATACACAAATTACAGGAGTCTCCTTAAAATTGCTTTGACGGCAAGCTTGCACCCGTACACGGTACAATAGTTTCCTTTCCTGATTTGAACAAATTTTAAAGAATTTCAACGCGATGTCAGTAGATTTCCCCGCGATTGCAGAATGCGGGTATACGTATACTTTCAGCATGGAATGATAATTGTTCCCTATTTAACTACTTAAAAGTAATTACACATCCATAATGTTTGTTGCCCCAAAGTATGGTATATTTGCTCGAAATATCCTACAACAGACACTTTTTCAAAAGAAGGCAATCATCTTCGTTCATGTTTGGTGAAAGGAATATTTTTATTTAAAATGACAAGGGCAAAATATCAAATTTTGACAGACATATTCCACAAGTACTTTAGACCTAGATAATTCTATATTTTGCGCTCTGGAATCAAACCGATAGTTGGCATAACATGATATATGAGTATGAAATGTTTCGACTTGTCAAAACACCTGTGGTCAGGATCACCTCTTTCGTGTCGTGTATAGTAAAGCATGACGCTAGACCAAAAAAATGGATCGGAATGTACCTACTCAAAGATGATGGGCACCCATCTCAAACTTGTAGCTGTCAATAGTTTATGTCGCCATTTTACAATCATGCTCGGTGTGAAAGAGATTAATGATATTTTTTTTTCCTTTTAGGAAATAGTAAACCAGCACATCCCCACGGACATGGACATTCGGCGATTAAGGACTTAGCAGGAGGAATATTAAGCAACGATGACAAAAGTAAAGATGACGGTGAACTATGGAATAACGTCGACGCTCAAACCGCTTTCCTCGGGCCTAATTTATGGGATAAGACTTACGAATCGGACCTTAAGGTGAGTTATTCTACTACAGGACTAGTTATATGAAGCAATCGCGTTTTAGTATGTGGACCTGGACGAGTTTTTGTCGGAGAACGGCGTTTCGATGGACGGTCTTGGATCACACACTCCGAATGGTTCGATATCGAACTCGCACGGAGTAGCCAAAAGGGAACGTTCGCCGAGCCCAAGCGACTGCATGAGTCCAGATACCATGAATCCACCATCACCCGCAGACTCAAGTGAGTTACCATCAGAGTATATTCCCCGAACTAGTTTTTCAAAATTATATCTGTTTAAATACAAAGTAACTTGTAACTTTACTAAACTATGGCAGACTTTATTGTTGCTTTTCGATTTAGTAAGGTTTGGAAAAGAGTTTTGTGTTTAGATGAATGCAATTTCTAAAATATAGTTTTTTCTGAAGCGTTATCGATGGCTTCAAGTTGTCGAGATTTCGACCCACGGACTAGAGTATTTTCAGACGAAGACCTCAAACCACAACCTTTAATCAAAAAATCCAGAAAACAGTTCGTGCCGGACGATCTTAAAGACGATAAGTATTGGGCGAGAAGAAGAAAGAACAATTTAGCTGCCAAACGATCTCGTGATGCCCGCCGCATGAAGGAAAACCAAATTGCCCTTAGAGCTGGATATCTAGAGAAGGAGGTAGGTTCGCATTACCTAATTTTGTATAAATTATTCTTATTTCCTTTACAATCACTTCCCAAGTCACCATCACCGCCCACATCCGTAGCAGATAACTTACTACGGACTACCTTCAGTATTTTATTTAGAGAAAGCACTCTCCAATATCATATTTTGCAGTGTAGATCCTGATTTTGGTCTTCTTGGATCCAGGAGCTTTAGAATCTTCATTTTGAGATATTTAAATTTGCTTATACACTGTGCCCAAGATAAGGATGTCTATCATGATGGTCTTCGAAACCATAGAAGATACGCCGGTGGTCAAATTAAGGGAAAATTGTGCAATTATTATCATGATTTAAAGAAATTCAAAAAATTCAGTTTACTTCCCAAGCAAAACCGAAATTTTCTGGCATATTTTCGGAAGTAATTTGAAAATTTTTGTTTTCTTTACCGCATGATAATGATCTTTAATTGCTCAACTTTTCCCTAATTTGATCATCTTCATATCTTCTTTGGTTTCCGAGATCACAATGATAGACATCCTTATCTTGGACACAGTGTAGCTATACTGACGAGTGTGGAAAACGATCAAATGTATTTGCTTTTTAATCTGCCTGGAGAGTTTGTATTTTTCTACCAATAATTAAATTGTGGGATAGTTTTGATTTATTTTCATTATCCATATTTTTTGGAGTGCTGATCCGCATCTGAGGTGTCTAACAAAATTTCATGACCCATCATTGAAAAAAATCTTATTTCAGCCACGGTATATTTTAGTAGACAAAAAGACTCTTCAATTTCTATCTAAAAAATGTCTAAAAAAAGTAACAGTACTTCATTAAAAATTACGTTTTACTTTTTGTAAAATATGTTAGGTAGATACTAATTTCCGGAACACATTTCCAGATATTTCCTCCAAAATATCTTGCAATACCATATCTATTTTTTAATTTTTTATTTCCATAAAATACTTCACGACAACTTTTAAATTTTTTTACCAAAGGTCGAGAAACAAATACCAGCTTTTCATTAAAAATTGCGTTTTATTTTTCTAAAATGTCTAATGGATTACATCAAATTTTAGGGGTAAAAAATTTTTGTTGTTCCCCAATTTCTTTAATTTCTATGCAATCAAGTCAAGTCAACAGTTTCTTGTAGTCTAATGTATATTACCGTAATTTCTGTACGAAATAAGTAGCAGTATTGGCTATCACTTGCCCACTTTCTTCCATTTCGATACACAAAAGTTGAGTAATGAAAAATACCAGCATTTCATTAAAATTGCATTTTATTGGTAATTTTTCTATTGGACCACGACACATTTTTGGGAGACAAAAATTTTCTTTAATGTCCAATTTTTTTTTAATTTATGTACCTAACTACAAAATAGTCGACAAATAATTAACAGGTTTTCATTTTTCAAATTGCATTCTATTTCCAAAAATTATTGACTAATATTCTCAATATTTCCAGTTGCTTGCATTGGCATAGATTGCCTTACTTTCTATGTCCAATAAGTAAAAGCATTTTGTTAAAAACTCAATTTCTTTGAGACATCCAGAAGAAAATGACCACGAGTACCACGACCAATTTTTCCTTTATTCTCCAATTCTAAAAAAATTGAGAAACAAATAAAATAATTTTGTTAATTGCGTTTTATTTTCCTAGAACTTTTTGTTGATCACGAAAAATTATTTACTCTTAAATTTCTACGATTTCTCTACAAGGAATTCTAGAAATTTCGCCTTTAATCTGAAATTATCGAGTTGGAAAAATGCTTTGATGAACATCAAGGAGCGAGGAGTGGTGAAAATAAGAGCAGAATCGAGCCTGCTTGGTTCTGATTGCGCCTGCTAAGTTTTGATAGCGCCAAGAAGAACAAGGTCGGCATATATAAGGCACAAATGCTGACTAGTGCAGCATAAAAGCCGGAAAGCCAAGCAACGCGAAGGTGGCGCAAGTAGAGGTTGGTAGCCGACAATAAGAGGGGAGAGGTGCTAACAATGTTCGCTGACGCTAAGCGATGGGGTCCAAAAGTGCTCTATGGGATTCAAGTGAAGACACGACAACAATTAGAAGAGTAGGGTAGTTTCCGGCAGGCGTGAAGTTTGACACAATCGCAGTCACCCTGCTACATTTTATGTCATCATACCAAAGAGTATATTATACTCATTGATATACTGGCCCTTCTTCTTTGCCCCATCGCTTAGGTGCACCTGTGTTCTTGGCATCATGGAGTTCCTGAACTGTTCTTGAAATTAAAAAAATAATTTATATTTTAAATAAGGGACCGTTGTACCTTAGAAATTGTCGCTCGCAAAAAGAAAGATGCGAGGAAATGGGTTATCGGTAATAACAAAAAAATGCCACCAAATATTCGGGTAATTATGTCACACCCAAAATTGCTTCTTTGGTTTCTATCCTCTCTATAAAGTGAAGGCCGCATAATTCTTCCATTCTCCCATACAGTTGTCAATTTTCTACTTGTTTGTCCAACAAAAATAGAATTATTAGAAGAAAAACTAATCTCGAAAAAATGTAGCTACAACCAACAACTTCGTCGCACCAGTGGAGTACGATTGCAATCTTTTTTAACCAGGTTTTCAATAACGGTTGGTCATTGTAATTTTGTTGTTGCAGAACCTTACCTTAAGAAGTGAACTAGAACGACTGAAAAAAGAAAACGTAATGCTTAAGAACAAACTAGCGAAATATGAAGATGTTTAATCATTCAATGAACGTTAGTCTTATACGTATCACTCATTAGTATCGTTACCGCTTTACTCATTTAACACAAAATTAGTCTAATTTCACATTGCGGATAAAAGCTACCAAAACATCTGTATATAAACATACACTCACTGTAGTCATCACGTAGAATAAGATGTAAGAGTAGAGCATCCATAAAAGTATGTACCATTATGTAAAGTTGGTAAAAGGAATGGGACAATTTCAATTTTGCTTAATTTTCTTTAAGAATGATTGTTTTACGATCATTAGTTTAAAATATATTCACAATATTTGTGATCTTTTCTATATGTAAATAATTTTTAAATGTTCACGCATTTATACTAAATTAGTGATTCAATTAAATTGCGTTAAATAGAATTTATCCCATCTCTTTCTCGCCACGCTGTAGTGTTTGCAAAATCGAAAAAAATAGCCCCAGCTTGGCAGCTGTGCTCTGTTACTAATTGTTGATTGTTTTTATGTTTATATAGTCTATTTTTGGTTGAAAGCTAGTTATATTGGTAATTTACAGTTAAGAAAATCAAGTAGATTTAAGTGTAGGAGTGCTCACATGTTCAGGGTTAGTGTTTGATTCGATGCAGTTGGTTAAAAAACAAGAAATAAGAGAGAAACTGTAGTCATGTTAAAACTGTTAAAAGTAGTCGGCTTTTTTTTAAAGCTTTATCAGTGAACTGTTAGAGTTACAAAGAAATGTTAAGTAGTAGTTATGATTTTCCTAGGGATCATTTTGAGTGTTCTTGTTAGATTGGGGCAACTGGCAATTCGTTATGTGTATTACATTATAAGTGTCACAACCTACAATATTATTTGTTCCGATCGAAGATTGGAACGCTATTTTTAAGTTTATCATTAATGGGATGCCCCCAATTGACGGGCTATAACCATAATTGTTATATACGGTTTTGATCAGATATATACTTTTGTATCTAACATTTAAGCCTTAGAGGCATGCCTTACTTGATATTGAAAAATTTTTATATACCTAACCTAAATACCAACTTTTATATGCATTTTTTGAATTTTTTATTATATGACAATTATGAGAATGTGATTGATCTACCACTTAATCTTATTCAAAATGTTGATATTGATATACTATATTTGTCTAAAAAGTTGAAATTCTATTAATGATTGTGATTTAAAAATTAGCCACTGAACCTGCCTCATTGTTGTGACATTTACAAAACTTTAAATGTGGTAGGTACAGTTTCAAGATGATTGTGTGAAATTTGTACCTACTTATATCGTCTTTGTTAAAATGCTATCGGCTTATGAACCGAAAGCGACTTTTTTTGTTCTAGGATAGATGAAAAAACCTGTAATTGCTGTTGTGAGCATTAAATTATAAAAAATTTTGTGCTTTTCTCCCACATTTAATTTTTCCTCTGCGGCATGGTTTAGCTACTGATTCCGTCCTAGATCCCTCGCACCTAAATTAAAATTGTTTTGCATAAGAGTTTTTTTATTTTCCAGTTATTCGTAATGCGATTAAAAATTGAGCTAGAAAATGAAACAAACGGTCTTTTCACCGACGAAATGAGGCATCAAAATGAATTTTAATTTCAACCTAGATCAGCGAACGTCATATAATTACTAAATTGATACATAATTGGACTAAAACAATTGATCTTCGGAACTACCCCTACTTTCAGATGCGAGGGCTACAATTTTTTTTGGCGATCCGTAAATAAATAGATCAATTTTATAGTTAACAGCAATTCATAATTTCCGGTAGGTAAATACCAATGTGTGAAAAGTGGATCTGCTACCCCTATCTTAAGGGAAAGCAATTTAAAAAACTATTACCGCACCTACTGTCTACGTACCTACTTGGCAAATCCCATAGGCTTTAACAAAGCATGAACCACGCCAATTATACCAATATACATAAAGACAAACGTGTTATTCTAACGTCAATGAAAAGACCTGTCGCCGTAACAACTGATAAGGATAACGACGGAATTGTAAGAAAATTAAAGAAATTACGTCCAGTTTGTCGTAGACCGCGGTTGAAACGTGGCGTGTGTGAATTTTGTGTTTTTACTAAAAATTCTCGCGTGACTTTAAAACTATGTATCAGTGTACCATTTATAAAGAAAATGAAATTGCCTCCAAAAGGTAGGATATAGGTAATAATTTCAGCTCGTACTGTCAAGTGCCATACGTTTAGCCTTTTTCGCAGTCAAAACTCAGTAATGGGAAATTTTCAAACGCAAATCCAATTTGGAAGAAATGAAATAATCATTTCTTTCTATACGTGTACCTCAGTACAGCATCGTGTGGAATACATAAATTAAAACAAATCAATGCACGTGACATTAATTGATGCTTCCTATTCATCAAATATAAATGACGTCGGAACTAGCAACACGTCATACATAATTGTAAATCTGTTTTGGAAGTATTATCGATAATGCCTGAAAATTGCATATAAATAATTCTGGCATCAGAACCAACTCGCAAACGAGTCGACAGAAAAAGTCTGCATCTTTTCCGTTATAAAAGCACTGGAGTAGTACAAACATTTGTGCAGCATCCCCATTCTGCAGGGTAGTGTGTTTTCAAGCAATTTTCACCACAATTGAAAGTGGATTTTCTGGCACAACTATAATTAGACACAAATTACGATCGACAAATGTTTTAGACATTAAAACGGAAATCTGCACTCGCGGTTTTGTACAGTTATTGAGAAGGGTGTAACTTTTGTAGTATGTATATTTTCTGTTTCTACATTTAATGTTGTTTAATAGTTTACAAGCAACCTTTCAACTGCACGTACAGTGTCATCGCTCGACGGTATTTTGAAATTAAGAAATATTTTGAGCGATTCTGTCTTGATTATTTGTGCCTTTACACATCACTGAAATTAACTTAACACACAGCAAGCCAACGTTAACAAAACTTTATGAGTTTTCTTTCCAATGATACTAACTGAAATGGTCTTACAACGGATTAATAATCCAATAATATTTTCATTCGAAATCCGGTACATGATTTGTAATAACTTATTAGTTATTATGGAAGCTGAAACTATCCTCTACCAAATTTTTATACTTAAGTTTCCGCCTCGTTTTCGAAAAATCTATTAATTCCATAAGAAAATTTCTAATCCCATAAATTAAAGAGGTTACTTTTAGTAATCGAATAGGCATACAATCTATTTGCCTAAGCCATAACAAAAATACACTTAATTTTATGAACACGTAACCTTTTGAACTTCATAGTCAAAACGAACAAAGTCTCAAACATATGAGATGTTATAGGTTGGGAATCAAGTACTACACGAATCCGTCAAGAAATGTTGGTGCAGAATTATTTCCAATCTGGATCATACTTTGCCCAAAGATCAAGTATGATCTTTGCTTTGCCTGAGCTAATAGTCAAACCATTATAACCAGTTGCGTGGTTTCAATTGGGATTGAATTGGAAAGAACACCTGTAAGATTAATACTTACTATAGCATTAGTGTATGAGCGGTTGAACATTCGCATCTTTGTAAATTAAAATGTTGTTTCCTATGATCGTGATTTTTTTCAATAAACTTTTTTAAAACCTCATTTAGAGGTACCTAATTATAAAACTCGAAATAAAAATTGGCTTTTAAAAAATGAAAAGTTAGCATCTCATTTTTTCAAGTAAAACGGAACTAAAACGGACTAAAATCCATTACGGACACAAATAGAATTGCATTATTGTCACATGTTGAGGACAAGGTGAACAATCTTTCAACAATTCAACAATTTGTTCTCCTTGTCTCAACATGTGACAAACGTTTTACGTTTGCTCTTCACTTTTAATACGAGACTTCGGCGGCAATGTGACAGGCCTTAAGCGTCGATAGGTTGGTTTAATTCGGCTTTTTACCTATAATTATGTTTTATTGACCGCATGTAAACCACATGGGCATGGTTTTCCCTACTGCAGGCTAGCAGACATTGCCATCGGCCTTTTCGATCAGACTTCTCAATCAAAAGTTATACTCGAAGACTAGAAACCAATTTCGAAAAAAAATTCAAAGAAAATTTTTTTTCCGGGTCGATCTCAGACAATTTTTTTCTCGGGGCTCAAAAGAAGGCAGTGTATAACCTCTTTTTTTTACCAAAAATCGACTACACCAGAATTTCTCGGGAAAACACTTTTTCTTATTTATTTGGGTGCGTAGAATCCAAATCAATTCATACTTTTTCGATCAGACTTCTCAATCAAAAGTTATACTCGTAGACTAGGAACCAATTTCGAAAAAAAATTCAAAGGGCTGTAACTTTTGAACTAGTAGCCTACAATTCTCCGAAAAAAAATTCAAAGGGCTGTAACTTTTGAACTAGTAGCCCAATCTTGGAACTATTTGAAATTATGGATTCTACAGGCCACATTCTATAAGAAAATTTTTTTTCCGGGTCGATCTGATACAACGGAATATCGAAGGACCATCACTTTTTTAACGGCTATTTATTTTAACTTCGATCTAAGTTTGACATGGTTTGATCAAAATACACGTCAAATTCGCATCATGGGCATGGTTAATAATGACATTGATGGTCATGGTCTGAAACGGGGAACAAAAATTAAGAGCTATAAAAAATATCTGGGGATCTTAACTAAGAGTTATAGCGAACACAGACACAGATAACCATACAAAAGTATAAAGGATCTGAGGATCCTTAATAAATAAAATCCATCTAGAACTGTAAAACTGTTCACAAATAGAACTAGCGAACTTTCGATAATAATTAACGTGCGAACTTCGCAGACGCGTAATTGGTTCAGTTTGGTTTCAGACAACTTCATTAGTCTTGTTGTGCTCTAAATACAAATATGCTTGCGAGGAGATTCTAAGAGTATTATTCCAGCGGCCCAAAAAAATATTAAAATAAAATACTTATTAGATTAAGAAACTTGTAATTGCTGTTGTGAACATTAAATTATAAAAACTTTTGTTCTTTTCAGCTTACAGTGACAGATTTCCCCTGGAGCACAGTTTTGTTACTCTTAGAACACTCGGAAACTTAACGCATTCGTTACAACCCCCGGCCCTTAAAATGAACTCGTTTTCATTTTTTGATAGTGTCCAATTGTTCGTCTGTAAACTTGAAAACGTATCTTCAACTCGGAACGGTAAGCGAAAAATAGGAATTGACGTCAAAATGCATAACAATTTATCTCGCAATTTATTTATTTATGCTCCACAATATAGATGGATGAAAACATCCAATTGAAGTGGAGCATCAATTCACAAATAAATAATAATAATAATAATAATAATAATAATAATAATAGCTTTTATTGAATATTGAGCTTTTATTGAATATTGAAGGCTCCTACACCATATTCAATTGGAATGCACAGGGTCAGATAAACTGAAGACAGTTATCTGTTCTTCCCCCTGTAACCACAATAAAATCTAGGTATAAAATAAAATTGCAATGACAACCATATATACATAATTAACATAAACATATACTATCCTATGCTTGTAACTAAATAACTAGCATAAAACTTAAAAAAAAAAAAAAAAAAAATTTTCCGGTAAGCAGTATATAAGTATTACAATAGGTACGACAAGTAACTAAAGAATCACGACCTACTTGTAAGTATTGTCCTTTTCATCGCCCTCTTAAATGAAACCTTTGATAAACTCAGAAATTTAAGATTTTCTTTCTGATTACCAAATTTGCAGATGTTGTAACTGAAGGATCTTTGAAATACTGACGTAGAGAAAGATGGAGTAGATAACAAACCTCGATATCGCAAATTTAGGTGGTGAATATCTGTTCTAAATGTTATCCTATTATATAAATAAGGAGGTGTTCTATCATTAATAATTCTGTGATAAAAGCACGAGGAGTGTAACTGCCGTCTTTCCTTCATATTCAGCCATCCTATTATGGGAAGTGTATGGGAAATCTTTTCATATTTTCGTATGCCAAACACAAAACGTAAGCAAGAGTTTTGAACTCTCTGAATTCTATCACGATCTCTAGCCAATAGACATGGTCCGTAGACAACGTCAGAGAAATTAAAGTGGGACAAAACCAGAGCATCACATAGTACAGCTTTGTGTTTGGTGCTAAGAATACATATTGTGATGTATCACTAACGTTAAACTTAACGTCCAGTGCATCAGTGCAGTATCTGTAGAAAAGGTTATTTTGCCTATACTAAATAACGCAAAATAAAATAATAATATTTTAAAATTTAATTTTTGATAGTTGCATATTTGGAGCCCAATAGCAAAAACCCTAAGTTCGTACGAGGTCTTAGGGATTGAGTTATAGGGTGGAACGACGGACAGACGGATGGAAAAGTAAGGACCGCTCTACTTTCGGGGGTTGCGCCAAAAACGTTTTATTCTAAATGTCTGTG